TTTTTTTATGTATTATTTATGTTAAAAAAACATAAAACAAATTATAAAAATCACAAAATATATAAACCAGTTAATGGAGTTTGTAACTATATGTCATTTTCTTCAGTAAATATTTTTATTTGTTCCCATATTTTCTTAAATTCATCATCAGATCATAGAGTTTCAAATGTTTTAATTACACCAAAAATTACATTTTTAGAATAACCAAGAATTGATGTTTTATTCTGTAGTAAAACTGAATGAACTACGGACAAAATTGGGTGGGCTAAGCCCGCCCCTCTAGTTGAGCCTATGTATTTGGAAGAATAATTGTTAATACGTTTCTTATAATTTACTGAATGCAATAAAAATATTAGCAAACATATTAATATAACATTGAAACACCAAATTTTTTGCAGGAATATAAAATAATGTAACATTCATAAGGTAATGTGTTGTCAAATGAATAATTGTATTAATATTTTAAGAATATAAAATGTGATCTTAATTTTCAATAATTAGGTACCTTGAAAATAATAAGTAAAACAAATCACATTCAGGATTATAAAATATATTTGATTCATCAGACGAAGAGTATTCACTACACGGATTTGATGGGACACTACAAAAAACATGTTAATTCGAGTCTTAACTTACTTCTGATAGTGTTAAATTTAAAATTATTGTATTATTAAATGATTATTTTAACATATATAATAATAATTATGTAATATAATTTGATACTGGTTTTCTTCTTTCACGAGAAGAATTTATAGAATTGTTTATATTATCTATAATAAAAATATTAACTATATGATTAAAGAACTATGAATTCAAGTTTGAGATTTTCAATAACTATGTTGGATAGTGATTTTAGATTTTTAAATCTCATTGGAAATTTTTATTAACTTATAGTTTAATAAGAAAAAAAAAATATTTACATTTGTAAGCAATAGTTAATAGTAAGGTGGATTCGCCACCTATGGCCACAATTTTTTCTATTGATATTTAATTTATTCTATCTATGGTCATTGAAAAAATTTGAAAATTTAACCATACATACTTCATAAGTTCACAAACACTTGGTTTGAATTTTAAAGTCTTAAGAATAGTTTTGAATGAGAAATTTGTATTAATTTTTTTAAATTACATTTTCCCCTTATATGGCTATTGTAAAAATATTTTTTTATTTTATTTAAACATGAATTATTAATACTTATATAACTGTGATAAATAATACAATTTAATGAATTAAATTATTAAATGTAAACAAATATGACAAGAACTTTAATTTTCCAAAAACAAATTATATAAACATAAACAAATTAGGTAGTTACCTATGAAAATAAAAACAAATAAGTATCTATTCAACCACTTGGTAAATAATATAAAAAAAATTCTGATTTGGTTACAAATATACAAATAACAAAAACAACTTATTAACATCATAAAAGAAATATTAACACTTGGTAATCTTTATATTATAATAAAATAACATGACAAACTTGAAAAAAAAACTATTAACTAAAAAATTGAATTATAACAATTTTAAACCAGGATATTATAATAGGAATATATTGTATATTATAGGAACATAATGTTGTCTTCAGTTTACTTAAATTTATCGTATACAGCAACACCAGGGAAAACAGAAAGATATTGTCTGTTCTTAAAACGTAACTCTGGCAACAGCAATTTGCAAACTAAATCATCTAAATCTACAACAGATATATCACCTTCAACTAATACAAATTCAGTATTTTCTTCATCAGAGGCTTCAAAGTATTGTACCTCTGCTTCAGTTGTAGAAATTACCTTAACAACTGTTGCCACATATTTATAACAAATTATTTTTTAGTTGGTGCCATTTTAACAACCTAAATAAAAAACTAAATTATTTCATTATGATTTGGAACACTATTTATCATGATTTAAGATAGTAATAATATAATATATATAAATAAATAATATAATCGTGCTATTTATTAAAAAAAGTTAATTACATGGCCACTAGCATGGCCATAGATGGGTTTTTACAGAAATTGAGTTTCCTCAATGGCCGTTCAGCAATTTTGTACCTAAGTAAAAACAACTAAATATATTAATTCTATTGAATTTAACTTACTTGATGGTACAGGAACAAACATATAGTGATGATTCCAACACGAAATTCCCAAAGCTCACATATTTTAAATTCTTAAGAATTTTGATAAGAAATACACGAAATAGTAATAACGAAATTATTGGAAAATATTTTTACAGTGTTTTCATCTGTTTTTGTAATAATTGTAATCACCCAATTAATAAATTGATGTAGACGAATACAACAATAACCATAGCCATAATCAAACTATAAAATTACACTATTTACAAATAAAAAAAAAATGACTGGCCATAGGTGGCGACTCCACCCTATATTAATAAATAAATAATAACTATCCCAAAAAAGTTGTTTTTGTTTTAATCAAGTTCTAGATTCAATATGAAATAAACAAAGTTCAGCAACTAAGAACCATTGTTTACAGCTTTTTTTATTATCAGCAAATTGAATACTATTTATAAACCATAAGACTTGCCGTTTAAGATTTAATTCATCTGTAACATCAAATAGTAGTGAAATCACTAAGACTTCTGTAATAAAGATGTTATTTTTACCTAACATAAGTCTAATACTATACAAGAAATAATTTGAACATAAAAATAAATTTCATGATTTATTATGGAGGTTATAATGTATACTAAAATGGAGTATTGGTTTTAATTTTTATTAATTGTGTAATTTAAAATTATAAGACATTAATAAATATATGGTTTTGTCCTAAATCATCACATTTTGTGGTAATTATGGCAACCTAAAGAAATTTATATTAATAAATAATATATATCAATGTATGTTTAAAATATTAAAAATTTAATTTTTGATTCTAGCCCAAGTACTGAATGAATATATTAACTAGAATGTTTTTTTTCTATTTCTTCATTTATGATTGAAGAAGAACTTGAAATGTACTATAAAAAGGGACATAGAAATTAATAACATATAAATATAATGGAAGGTTAACTATATATTCAATACTAAAAAACAAAATAATTGGCTTTGTTAACTTATTTATTTTTATAAATACGGTATAAAAAATAACTGTTTTTGAAGTAAATACTCTTAAAATAATAATATAATATAAAACAATATTTTTTTCATAGCATATTATTGAATGTGTAAATAATTTCTGACTGTATTCAATTTAAAAAACCTCAGTTTATGATTTTTATGGTTGAAACCAGCTGTACATAAGCACACAAAATATTTCAATCGAAAACAGTATTTTTTTTTTAATTATTTAAATGTTAAATTTTATTTATATTGATAATATTAAAATATTCTTTATATTAATTAATATAATAAAATATTGTACAATCAATAGTAAATTAAAATAATATTTAAATAGAAACATAAAGTTATAATAAAAAAAAAAAAAAATTGAATCAGTTTTTAGAATTTTATAGCATTGATTATAGAATAAATTTAATTTATTTATTATACTTAGATTATTCTATAATCAATGCTATTACAATTAAAATTGGGTATCTCCTGAATTTGTTGTGGTCATAGGATGTTCATTTATGTATTGACTAGATAATTATATTATACTAATTTTTTTTTAAAACGATCATGTAAATATGATGTCAACAAATAACTAGAATGTAAAATTACAAATATTTATTTTTCAACTTGTTTTCTACATTTTAAAATATTTTATAATATATATTGTTATATATTAGGTATAACATAAGGTATATTATTTTTATTCATAAAAGATTATGAAAAATGTTTGAAAATTGATCAATCATTTATATCTCTGAGAAAGTTACAAAATATTGGCAATAATTATTCAACACATAATTTTAATGCGATTTCAATTACAAGCTGTACATGATAATCATAATTGTAATAAAAATAACCATATTTTTAAAGTAAAATCAAAGAATTACAAAAATGTATAGTCAAAATGTATACTTGCTAGTTCAAATAATTATGTAAAAAAATAAACGGCATTACTTGTTGTTTAAAAACTATAACTAAATAAAACTTTAAATAAATTCGTTAAAATTCACAAAAAGATCCTAATATTTATATAATTTTAACATTGATAGGTTAAATATTAAAATATGTATATAAATCAATACAAAAGTTGTAAATAATTATAATTTATATAATTACTAAAATGGTTTATTTAATTCTATTGAATTTTATCCTAAGCAGCATAAAACAAAAATTTTCTATCATTCAAATAATAAATTATTAAAAATAAATATGATAATAACTTCTAATATTTTCATTTACTAAGAAATTTATGGTTTTATAAAGGTATATTAGAACTAAGATATTAAAGTACTTGTATAACAAAATGTTTTAACTTAACTGTGATATGCTTTAAAAAAATAAAAATAATTATAATTTTTTTCTATTTTGAATAATGTATGGATATTTTAAACGTGTAAATCCTTACTTTAGAATTTACAATATTTATGATTTTTGATTGATAAAAAAAAAAAAAAAAAAACAATTAATATAAAATTAATGATTTTAATTAAAGACAATGTAAACTATAAAAATAATATCAGGGAAAAATTAATATTATGAAATTAAACATTTGATTGAGTAGAATTGCTATTGATTAGGATAAAATATTACATCCTTAGTTGGGAGGTGATTGATTATAGTTTACTGCATAACTTTTGATATTATTTTAATTGTTGTATGAAACAATATTAAATTGCAATAAGATCAAAATACATATTTCAATATGTTTAGAAAGGATAATTTATTTATAAAATCAGTATTATAAAAACATCATTTGAAAATCTGATAATACTTAAAAAGTACTAAACAGTAAGTTATTCGATCTTATTTGATTTTTAATATTTAAATGTATGAATCAAAAAAGCTTACAAAATAATATATAATAAGATGAATCAGGTAATTTTGGCACTTATCTAAAATCAAAAAATATCAGCACAACTGACCAAGTCTTTTGGTTATATTATAGAGCATGGGCAATTGGAATGTAACCAGTGTTCATCAAGGTTTAAACGATTAGAAATTATTGTGCATTTATATGCAAGGTATCACTGTAACATTAATTAGTTGTTTTCTGGTGAATCCCATTTCAAATGTACTTGAGGTGTTAGATTAATAATTTCTACATGCACAGCTTGACATTTTTCTAATTTTGGAGGAATAGGACACAAGCGATAGCGGACTTGATCTCCAGGCAGCGGGACATATTCTCCTTCAATACTAAAAAACCATACAACATTATTTAAAAGACAACTGAAAATGTTGGGTTACTCAAAACTTACTCAGATATGTGTACAAATGTGTCTGGATCGCCGTTGTCAGGTATAATGAAACCGTGTCCTTTGGATTTGCAAAAGTATTTAACTTTTCCAGTGATTTGGGGGTTTTTCAAAGCCAGAGCAGATCTAGACAGATTAAAATTGAAAAATTAGTATCCCCGATCGTACGGCGATAAGTCATAGTACAAACGAGCAGAAGCAACGGGGTGCTACGGGACCGACATGTTACTACAAGGATAGATATGCAACTACGATGTAGCAAACGAAACGTACAAAGTCCGGTGGCAATCATAAGATTTAGATGAGTCGAAACAACCCTGCGAACACCGAGCACGTGCGCACACAACGTGAACAACGTGGACGGTAGGTATTCCGGTGCTCAACACACCCTTTAGTCGCGGTGTGAGACTTAAGCCGAACGGGGACGGTAAAAACTTACGTGGAATCGGTTCTCGTCCGTCTGGTCACTATCGGACTGGGGGCGAGCATGCCGGTTTTGGTGGGCGACAGGTGATGAGTGAATTTCGACGCGTCCGGTTCGCCGTTGGAGTGCGAATCGTTCATGGCGCTACGTGGGGATCGGAAGTGCGGCACAGTCGTCCGGCAGCGGGTTCGCGCGGAAAGAAGATGAAGAAACGATACGGAAGAACGAGCGCGCCGGACGTGGTCGGCGGAAAAAAAGGCTAAACACTGCGAACACGTCCTAGACTGGCGTTCCGGAGAGCTGATACGATGCGGCGCACAATAACATTTTCATTAATATTGCCACTGTTGTTATCGTCTGATTGATGATAAGCGAACACCAAGTCGGATTTCAGGGATGCCAACGTACGGAAAGGTCGTTTTCAAGACCGCGAATCGTTTTCCGATCGCCGTCCGTAGATAAAAGAATATAATGCGTCGTCGTCATCGACCCCCTCGGGTAGGTTAGGTGGATCAGGTGCGGTCGCGGTGTGTCCGCCGTTCGTCGGAATCGTTGTGTACACGATTTTATCCACAATGATATGGCCGTTACGTTTGCGCACGTCCGAATCTTAATCGAAATAACGTCTAGAACTCGATGAACAGATGGTGGTCCTCCGACGATTTCCATATGGTCTGAATGGTTTTTTTTTTTTTTAACTTTGACAGTACTACGGGTTCCTTTAGCGATTGTTTATTTTTGTTTATCGTAACCGCGTTCGAACGTTTCGTCAGAATTCCTTCGCACAGAACAACAATCTGGTAGCCAATGTTGATTCGCCTGCTATATAGTTTCTCCGTGCACCTAAGTGCGATTTCTAAAAATCGTTAATTTTATACCGAGGCCGTAATTTTTTTTTTTTTTTATTTACCTCGGCCTGTTATAAAATTTATCTGTTATTACGGTTTGCGCATAATCGTTTTTACCGAGAATATGATCGAATGAATCCAAAAATAATACGTATAATGTATACGTATTTATTTATGTATATATATATTTTTTTAAATCGTAAAATAACAAGTTTAACGTTTTTTTTATGAGAATCACTATGTGACTATTAATTTTTTCCGAATGATGTATTTTTACATTTTCCATGTGCTTGTCAACAGAACTGTTTGTATTAACTCAACATTGTTTTCCATTAATTTTGTTTACAACATTTGAGTTAAAATAACGCATGCTATTAATATATCGATCAAAACTTCATTCTGACATGCCATTTTTGAAACTGACCAAATGGCAAACCGTTAAAAATAAGCTGTGTGAATATGGATGATTATGTCTGAAAAAATTGGTTGATTATGCATTGGTATTGTTGATATATACATAAGCGTGCGCTCGGGGTAGTCAGGGTAGACACTCAACTACTCTGTGAACCTTCCATCTCTCACCATAATATTCAAAATTATCACAATAATAAATGACCATATTATGTTCAACCACTTCGAAACGTCCGTAAACGGTAATAATACATGTAATGTAAATACATGTTTAAGAATGTAGTATTTGGCGATATTGGAAAAATATAATTATAAAGTTAAATGAAATTACTCCGTCCAAATTTGTTGTTAATATTAAATGTTAATGTGTTATGTATGACAGTAATGTATGCGTACGCTTATGGATATATATATATATATATATATATATATATTTATTCTATAACTTACAGTTGAAACCTATTAAATTGATTAAAATACGATTTTCGTATTGAAAGATATTCGAGGTACACAAATTACTATTTCAGATAGAAATCAAGTTTTTCGATGCTGATTCACTTTTATTTATTCAAAGTTTAATCTACCTACGTTAAATTTCAAATAGATTATTTTTAAAAAGTTTGAACTTTTTCACAACCTACTATTACCGTTAAAATGTTTTATTTAAATTTATATAAACATAATATTAAATCAGTTAAATGAATCAATTTAATAATTATAATTTATGAGTAATTTATTTATCAATTTTTTTTTTCAAAAGTTTGTAACCTACAGGCTACAGTATGCACTTCAAAGCGTAAGGTGTGGTATGAAATCATAATCTCGTGATTACACGAAGAATATTATAAATATATTAAAATATATTAACTTATGAAACGAATTGACCATGTACACGTTACAACAATTTAAAACAATTAAACAATAGACCGTATGATGAGAGGTGTATTGTGTCTCAATGAGAATCAAATAAATACACTTTTAATTGTAGATTTTTAGCTATCGGCATTCAACAAATATAAGTCTAACTCGAGTTTCAAGACGGGAGAAAAAGATAATTTCTACAGGAATATAATTTGTAATTGATTTATAAGAAATATATTATATCATGTAAATGATGATGTTGAATTTTACAGTAATTTTAAACGTATTAAATAATATTATCTTATCAAGTGTTAAATTGGCATTTGAAAACAGTGGGCATTGTTGAAGTAAGACGATTAAACCCAGTCAGAACTACTTAGCAGTGATTTGTTAGATATTTATATTTTAAGTGGTACCTACACTGGTTATGAAAACCGTTTGGGATCCCTTCTATTCACATGGTTTACATTCAGCCGAATGTTTATAAATACTTCCAACCATTCATAAAATGCTTTAATTTCCAATTTTCGTTAATTATTGCGAGTATGAACATTCATTGTTCACATTTTGATACTTCGTTGTATAAGTGAGTATTTTATTTTAAGTTTTTTTTAATTTATTAGACAGTGAGTAAAGAGGAAGTGGTTATAATGCGCAAAGTGCACGGGACTAACTTAGATCAGTGAAAAATGTATCTTAGTTATGAGCTTAAACTTATAGAAGAGCTTTTAATTATTGATATTGATGTTTTTTTGGTTATTGTTTACACATGTTTTCTATTCTGTGAGTGTATAATTTATCATTAAATAACCTTTAAGAACAAAAAAATGCGGTTTAGGGATATTTTATTTAATTACGCCATGAATAAATAAAACAACATGTTTTATATTATTTTAATAAAAGCAAATTACGGTAAATTTAAAAATAAATATAGGATAGTGTAATATACAATATAAATATTTACCTTGCGCCTCACAGTTCTGGAACTACTGAGTTATGGAGTTTTTGATCTAAGTTATGATTTAACTATTTCTTAATATTATTAATTTTTAAATAAATAATATTATGTTATGCAATAATCATAGAAACTATAACTGTTTTCTTAGCTTTTTTTTTGAGAATTTCGATAGAATTATTTTTGTTTGAAAAAAGTTTCTGAAAATATAATACAAAATTCCTAATATATATCTTTATCTAATTAATGTAAAAAGTCTAAACTTAGTGAAAAAAATAAAAATAAAATGATGCGCCTTTAATTTATGAATATTGACGAAACGATAAAAATAAAAAAGTTCACAATATTGTTATAGTATAAAATTCAAAAACTTTTAAATTTTATTATAAAACTAGGTATAAGATTTTTCTTAAGATTTTCTTTACAGAAATAATAAAAATTTACTGAGAAATTGTAAAAATATTTTCTAAAACTTAAAAAATTAAATTTTAACGAAATCGATTATTTCAATAAATATACATTAAATTATATTAATTATTTAGTTGATATCCTATACATTTTTATCATACTGCCTTAAAATACTCGCATTTACTTATAATGTATATTAGCATTTTAATACTTTCGAAATATAAACTAATCCATGTGACCGCTTTCATTCATAATCGTTTTTTTTGGAAGTAATGGTTCAATGGTGTTAATTTTAAAAGCCCAATACAGAAATATAATTCACCCACATTTATATATAATTTATTCATTAATTGTCTACGACATTAATATTGAAGTAAAATATTAATGATTAACAAAAATATTTTTAAATTTATCTTCTCCTTACCTTACATTTTTTAAATGTTATATCCCCTTAATTCATAATAAGAGTATCATTAAAAATCAGAAATTTCAACTGATTATCTAAGGAATATTCATTAAACGCAGTAAAATCCTTTTGTGTCTTCTTTAAGACGTGTTTGCTCCTAATCCGAAAATTACAAACAAAACAAAAATATTATAGATTACAAACTAAATGATTTTCATTTTTAGTACTAAAAATTACGCATACGTTAACGTTTAATTGTTTTCTTAGTTAATTAAACTAAATATTCAAGTCATTACATTGTTTATTAATTTATTTTGTCACTATTTATTTTTCTAGTTCTTGCATTGGGTTAGAATGCCAGTTAGTGTAATCCAATCGTATAATAATAAACTTATCATTGGTTTCGGACATTAACTATTATGTTAGATTTAGGTTAGATTAAATTTATGTATCACTATTTTTAATATTTAAATTAATAATTAATAATTATAAGTTATAAATTATTAAAAACTACTTTATTATCAAATATATTTTTCAATATTAGAATAAAAAATAATTATTAAAATTAAGGCCGGACTTAATGGGGATGCAATGCACCGGGGTCTCAAGTTCTAAGAGGCCTCTAAAATCAAAATTTAAAATTTAAAATTGTCTGTTTAGTTATTTTTTTTTTTTTAATTTACCTATTAATTAAAACACTTAAATTTAAATTTTTTTAGTTATTTCATACATCAATATGTAGTAATTAATATAAGTATATATAAATGTATACAGTGTATTCAACTATAAAGGTAACACGAAATATTTCCAATGTATTATCTTGTATTTTATTCGGGGTTTTTTTTATCTGTAAAAGGACTTGAATTTACACTTATTTTAATTTATGAAAAATTCAATTTTTAACGATTTTTATCCCATTCATGAAGTCTAAAGTAACACATATTACCAATTTTTTTCAAATGACCGATAGTATACTATTCAAAACATGGAATTGTCTCAAAAAGCGTTTTGTGAAAATAATATTATGAAGTTATAAGATTTAAAGAAAAAAAAAACCAAGACCATCAGTTGTGCAAGAATCAGTGACGTAGGAAGATTCATTAGCACTACAGGCTAACTTAGAAGAAAACGTCTTTTAAATAATCAAAAATTTTATTTGATGATATTTTTGTTAACCTTCAATTTTACTGATATTTTTTTTAAGTATACAAAGTTATTATCACAGGGTAAATTTTAAACTTTGAAAATTTGCTATTCTCGCTTTAAGGTTAGCGAATTCATCGATAATTTTTTCATATCAAATTTTCTTTATTCATCCCCTTGTGCTATTTTCATACTTCCATCATTAAATGTATAATCAGACAAAATCTACATATTTCAAAAAGTATAATGGAACATTTTTGTTTAAAAGGTAAAATAAAATTACGAATTTTGCACGGTTTTGCGCCCTGGCGTAAACACAGTTCACCATGCCCTTGCTACGCCACTGCCAATGATTTTTATAAAATAGATGTTACTCAACACGTGCTTATAATAAAAGTAATTTCTTAGTTAATAATCATGATCATTTTTTATGTTTAATATTTCTTCCGTCTACAGTTATTTCAATCCAATTGGCAGACAAAAACAAAACAAACCGATAGGAAAATGTGTGTAGTTAGTCCAACATTCCGCGTTCGGTCATTCCAGATAAAATAACATAGGTAATCTTTTTACGTTTATGACGTAAAAAAAAATTTCTAAGAATATTAGACATTCTGTTCACTTGTGCATTATGTCTAGTATAATAGGAGTTACTCGCGGATCATATTCTTCTATACTCATTAGAAATATGAACGGTTGTGGAAGTGGTTTGATTTAACTCCTAACTTTGATCTGTAAATCGTTATTATTATTTGCGGACGAAATCCTATGATGTGATAACATTTCTACATTATTATACTAACGTAATATCGCTCGCTCGGGACTGCTGATCGGCGTGAATCAAATATTTAAACGATTGATGTGTACAACTGTGCAACAGTATAACTAAATAATAACATTATCATTATAATAATATTAAGAGTTTTCGAACAAATACATATGTTAATAGTTTTTTTTTTATTATTATAATTACAACGTAGATTATAGTTTTCAGGTGCTCAAATTGTTTTGTGTCATTGAATGTCGAAAATATGTAAGTATGTCTTATTTATACTACCTAATACATATTTTAATACACTGTGATTAATCGTTGATAATAATACTTAGTACTTTACTAGATTTGTATACTTATAGAATATAACAATTTTTATTATATACGCTTTTATCTGTATTAAACATAAGTAGATACTGGTTTTCTTAAGTGCGAGCACTCGTTCGTTCATTTATTTGTAGTATGATAATGTAGTATACGTATTTATTTACCGATTGCCTTTGAGATAAACTCTGTGTCGATTAGTCATAACCACAGTTCGCGTATCTTTATGCAATCGTACAGACATTGTTCGTATTAAAATTAAATTTATTGTTTTCATGCAAATTATATTGATCGTCATCATCGAATGGATTTCAATGGAAGTTCATTTGTCAATCAATTGTAATAGGTACACCTAAACACGTACCAGCTCCCTCACCGACGATATTCTAGAAAATTATCTTGCAGATATTTTGTTCGTCATTCGTTTGAATTTGTTCGATGGTTAGCAGCATTTGTTTATCAATAGTTTTTATAAAATACCAACAACTATGAAAAATATCTGGGGACATGTGTCTACAGCCCCCACTAATCTAAATACCTTGGATATCTTTTTTACGATCATATTGTTTGCACATTTGTTTAAATTTGTATGACATTTTTCAAAATCTTCATTTTACCCCCAACCCCGTTATTATTGAAAAACCTATATTCCCGTGTCCCTCGTCTTCACATTTTGAATATTACTTTTTTTTTTAACGAACCCATCTTACCTTACTCTTTTAACCATAAACCGGAAATAATCAACCGACGCCTATTTAATACAAACGTGACCGAAGAAATTTGGTTTTATTACCTACTATATCGATCATCTTTAGAAATATTAACTAATCCACTTTTACAAAATCATTTTTTTTTTTTTAGAATAGATGGTACATGAGTTTTAAGTTCAAAAGCTCATTACAGCAATACTATTTAATCATCCTTGTTTTTCTCCTGACTCCGTAGTCTTATCTGAACTAGAAGTTTTGCCGTTTTTTATTTTTTTATTTAAACATGACTGATTGCAGAAATCAACTAATAAAAATAATTATACATTTTATTATTCTATTTATTGTTTTTTAAATTGATTTGGTAAAATAACATTAGGTACTTTTACATAAAAAAAAATAATTACTTTCAATATATATAAGATTATTATTATTATTTAAGGGTTCAAGCGGTTATTTGACTAAGATTTGATGATCGTCCAGATTTTAATAGATATTTTCGACAACTACATTGTACTCATAGTACTCTATATAAATTATATATCTAATTGCTTCATTATATTATTATGACTGTTACAGTTACATTAAATTTAGAATACGATAGAATTTAAGATATGTCTACTTCAAATAATAACGATATTTTAAATAATAAACAAAATTGTAACAATATACTGTTCAAAATTAACAGTACGTTCTTTGGATATTTGTCGATTTACGCAATATTTCAGGTATATAATTTTTTTATGATAATTCCACGGAATGACGTTGTTAAAAAATAATAGACATTAACATGTTCGATATAAACGTATATCGTTTTATTTATTTTATTTTCAGGTATTAGGAATACTGCTAATATTTTCCATATTTTTTTGGCTTCAATTTTACCGAAATGGTTTTGGATTTTCTGGAACTATAAATGTGTGCAACTGGCATCCACTGTTAATGACAATCACTTTTACATATTTATTTGCAAATTGTAAGATTTTTATTAATATTTATTGGAATTTTATTTATTTAGATTCTGAATGTATTGGTTTTTACCTTGGTGAATTTTTTTCCTTTTTGTCTTAGTATTTGTCAACAAAAGATAGACTAGTAGGATTGCTTCAATCTCATAATGTAATTTTTATTTTCTGATAGAATATACTGTTTAACTGGTGAAAATTGTTGTAAAAATATAATTTTCTCGGCAGTTTTCCAAGTAAATTATTTCATATTAATATTTATATTAAATAATATTTTACATTATAGAATATTAAATTACAAAAGTTGTTTTTTTTAAAAAAAAAAAAAAATTGAACGTAAGTGATTATTTATTACATTATGGTGATAAATTAAAATATATAATTTTTAAATTAATTATTTGATTTAATATAAAACATAACAATTATATAATTATATTGCACTATATAATATGTTTATATATTGTGTAATTACTAATTTTAATAGGAATAATGTTTATTCTAAAATAATAAACATACTAGTGAAATATTAGATTTTAGTATATCAGTTGTTTCTAATAACTATAAAATATAATTACTACTGAAAAACAAATGCTAATTTGTTTGACGTTTGTTGAATATTATTTTTTGAAATTCAATTCAAAGTTAATGAGATTAGGGATAGTGCTTATCTAATAAACAAAATAAGCGATTTTTCATCGGTATTCGGGATACATTCGTACATCGGGATTCATCGGCAATGTTTTTGTTTAATATAAAATTTAATATTTCGGTGAATTAAATCACTATAATTGTTAAAAGTTGGTTTCCTATCATATTTTACTTTAATTAGAAAAATTAAGTAATGACACTATTAATTATTATTCAACAGTACTTTTTTTTTAGTTTAATACATGATTTATTTAAACACGTATTTTCAAACAAACTCTCCATAATTTTATATTGTTGTTTTAGCTATACTTCATTTCCGCAATTTCCGCAATATTAAAAAGAAAAAATTAAAAAAGCAGCATTTAATAATTCATAGCTGTATAATCTTCTTCGGATTAATTGGTGTATGGACTGGTTTAAATTCAAATGTAATCGCTAAACCACCAATTCCAAAATTTTACAGTTTTCACAGTTGGTTGGGAATCGTAACTGTCATTATGTTTCTTTCTCAGGTATATCAGAATCATTTATTTGAAAAAGTTAAACAATTATCTGTACTTATGTATTTAACAGTTTGCAAGTGGATTTGTAACATTCTTCTATCCTAAAGTAGCTGTACAATATAAAAAAGCTATTATGCCTTATCATATATTCATTGGTACATTAACCTTTATATTGTCAATTGTTACATCAGTACTGGGAATTAGCGAAAAAATTATGTTTGCTTTGTACGTAAATGATTCTTAATATAAAATATAGGTACTACTAATCTTTATTATTTTTTTTGTTTATCTAGGAATCAGCAGGATAATTACATGCCAACGGAAGGTCTGTATTTAAATTTTGTGGCATTCCTATTAATATTTTATGGTGTAATGGTTGTTTATATATTGATAAAACCAGAGTATAAAAGACCACCCAAACCAAAAGATGTGGTGACACATATTGCAAATATTTAGGTACCTACATTTTTATTTTTTTATTTTATTTTTATTTATAACATTTTTATTTATTGAATTATTTATTATTTATATTAATTACACAAATTATTCATTTTTTGTACATAACTTTAATGTTAAAATATTATTTTATTGTTTGAAATAGTGTCTTGTAAATACTTATGTATTTATTTTAGATTCTGAGTGAAACGAGCAATGTATTGATTTCACCATAATGGTAAAATAATAATTTTTTTTTTTTTTTATGTGTATGATTTCGATCAGAAGGATTGTTTCAATTATCACAATCATATGAGATTTTAAAAAGAACATTTTTTCTATTTAGTACTTTGAAGAGTTTCATTTTACGAATTTCCTAACAATTTTCTTAATAATTAGAAAAAACTGACGATAAGTTATATAAAAAACCAGTAAAATTTACTGCATACCAGTTTTTGATAAATTAAACTTTTTTGTTTATAATCAATCAAAAACTAATAATTATAGAAGTTGTAGAAATATGAGTATTTAGTAGCTATTTTATGGTTTTTGGATAATCATATCTCTCAGGACCATTTATTTGTCAGACTGAAAAATCTCGTTCACGCCTAAAAATTTTACCTTGCTCAGTTATTTCAATAGAGTACAAGTTTTTTAGATTTTTTTATCATTTTTATATTTTCAATAAAACGATACAGATGTAAGAAGTCTATTAACTATTTTTTTAAAAATGAATAAGTTAATATTTTTTTTTATACGTATATATTGACTCTTTTAATTCATTATACATTGTATTAGATTCTAAGTGAATGAGGAATATATTGATTTACCATAGTAATTTTTTTATTCTGTTTTATTTTTTGTACCAGAGCCAGAGCAGTGTCAAACATTTCTGTGCATCAGGGCAAAATTTTTTCTTCGGGGCCACTGGGCACAGGTAGCATATAAGGTGTAGATAAGAGTGCCCCCTTATTTTTACAAAACAACGGCGTCCGGGGGAAATTTCCTCCTTTGACCCTCCTTAACACGGCCTTAACCAGAATAAACGATTTTGATAGGTAAAGTTGCTCCAACTCTCAACCATAAAAAATTTCAGATAGAAAATGTGGTCTAGTTTAAAGAAATGTTGAATATTACAAATCTCCCAACAATTTTTTTTAATAACGAAAAAACGATGAAAAGTTATAAAAAAAAAAACTGTTAAACTTACTGTACACCGGGTTTTAATAAATCGATTTTTTTTTATAACCACTTAAAAATAATAATCGTTGGGACTTGAAATTTTCACTACCGTTTTACAGCAATTATATAATTGCTAATATACGATATATATATATAAAACTAATATACGTAGGCGTCATATTAAGTAGTTATTGTGTAAATTCTATCTTAATAAATTATTATTATTAAAAATAACTCTTTAATATATTTAAACTTAAAAACTTAAAATTTACTATTTATTTTAAAATTTTATTACAAATGTGGTTGCTATATTCACATTCCAGAATAGTTAATTTATTTTTAGGAATATAAGTAGACATTTTCCAGGAAGTAATAAAAACCATTTTTTCATACTAATCATTTTTTTAAAAATAATAATCAACACTGACTATTGACTGTTTCATTATTACTTGTTTAATTATAATAATTTTATTAAAACTTTGCACATTGAAAAATCATGTTCAATGATATAACTAAAAAATAAAAACGTCGTGAAAAAAAAATAGAAATAATAAGAAATAGTCGGAGCATTCGAGTTGGGTTTCGAATTATTTTAGGTATTACAGTAGTTCCTGAATATTTTTTGGTAAGTACTACATTATACTAACATTTTCCTTCCCATTTTAACCGATTTATGACTGTCTATGATTTATTTAAACCACAGGTATGGTTAAAAATATTTTTAATAGTTTTTTTTTTTACTAGACTAAGTCTGTTAAAATGCGGAGGAAAATGTTAGTATAATGTAGTACTTACCAAAAAATATTCAGGAACTAGTGTATACCTAAAATAATTCAGGACTCAACTAGTGTAGTACCTAAAATAATTCAGGACCCAACTAGTGTAGTAATTTTAAATTTGGAACCCAATTCGAATGCAGCCGAAATAGTATTATATTTTATTATAGATTATATTATGGTTTGTTATGTACAATTCTATCTTTGTTTAATTTCTTTATTTATTTTATTTAATTTTGTTTATAGTTGATCGATTATTATATTAATTATTAGATTTTGTAACTCTCTATCATCATCACAAGCTTACTTACAGATGGTAGATAGATTTATCTTATTATATTATTGTAAACTTGTTCTTTTGAGCTATGTATAATTTATAATAAATGAAAAAGAAAAGAAAAAAGTATTAAAAACCATTTTTAGTTATATTAATTTAAACATTAAAATTAAATACACGTATGTTTGATAATTTATTATAACAGTATACAAAAATTGTGTGGCAGTAGCTGCCTTTATGTTTAAACATAGTGGTAGTTCCTTAAAAGTCATTGTCGTGACTGTGACTGTCGAATGTTACTGTCGTCGTGTAAACCCGGTGATCGCGATTTATTATTTTGTACCTATATATTTTTTATAAGAAATGGGTAATTTTAAATTGTAAATAATTCAATAAAGACATTCAATGCCATTGATGAAAAAACAGTATTCCATACAATTAATAAGGAATTATTGAATTAAATACTATTGTTTGTGTATATATATATACTTCGTATTAACCAGTAAATATCTAAATAGTAAATATGTACACATATTTATAATCATCCTCTCCCGTTAATGTAGGCTGGATCTGCGCCTGTGGTGGACGAACCGCGCATTCGGCACTCAAGTCACCATTGAATATTCAGACAAATCCAAAAGAAAAGAGAAAATGTAAAATTATTATCTGGGATGAATGCACTGCGGTCCACAAGCATTCACGCGAAGCGCCTGATAGTTAAACGTTTAAAGATCTGAGTAATACAACCAAAGTTTTTGGTGATACTTTAGTGTTCTGCTGTTCGGTGATTTCAGACAGGCAATTTCGGTAATTTTACGTGGTACATATGCAAACGAAATTAACGTATGTCTGAAAGAATCATACCTATTGTGAAACATCAGTAAATTAAATATGCGTACCATAAATATGCGCGTATTCAACTAAAAAATGATCCATTGGCATTATATCATCGTGTCCGTTAGTTATTATATAAAATTAAACCAATGGTAAGCTTAATAAATTAAATATGTACATAAGATCGATTAAGATTCGAATGTATGATTTCGCATATGGGTAGCATACTGGTACATTCAATTTGTTCTATTGACCGCCTATATGAAATTGTAAACGATCATAAGTTAATCTATTTATTACAAATGTCTTAAATTCATAAAAATGTGATATAGTATATTGAATATTTGTGGTTATAGTTATTGTTATGCCGAAGTGATAAAATCTGTAAAGTTCAATGTTGAAATGTAGAAATTACATGAAGTAAAAATATACTTTAAAATATATTGTATTAATCATAAAAGCTGAAAGATTTGAATTAAGCAAAAATATAACGTTTTTAGAGGAAATAGGCGTTACTGAAATATCTTGATGGTATTGATTTATAATCAATAGCAACAAAGTGCTTAGCAACGGGCCATTTAGCCACTCACGGATATTTTATAATATTATCTCTTTTTATAAATATCAAATTAATAACAAGACTAATTAATTTCTAAAGACGTGATTAAATCACGTACCCCTCGTCAAAACTTTTCACTCGTATATATATATTTAGCCGCTTAAAAAAATACGTGACAGCAACGAATTTAAAGGCTATATTTTCTAATATATTTTAACAAAGCTTTGAAAAATATATAACGTTTAATACAGATTAAAAATATATACTATTTATTTTCAAGATTTATTTAAAACAACGGAAAAAATGTTGATACTACATAGATTAAACTGATTAGTGTTTATCATTCAATATAGTTGTATCAGATACATAATTAAGGGGGGGGGCATAGGAATAATTGCCCTCTCCCAAATATCGTATTGTAGTAATCGCGAATTAAGACATACGGTATATATAATTTAATTGTTCATAATTTAAACCTCAATTATTTTGAAAAAGGTTAATCCTTCCTTAAAATAAGTACTTATTTACTTGCTTACGTTATATAATGTCTAAAAATCATATCATATGTTACTCATTTTTAATTGACTACAATGTATAAATTATAGAATTTTAGTCACTGAGCCTTATAATCGTTTTCATATAAAAAACAAGACGTTATTTATCAACGTTTTGTCAGAGCTATTTTTCCATAATATGTTTTCTATACTGTCATTGTATTTGAAAAATAAATGTTTTTTACGCAACACAAACGTGAATACTTTGCACGGATGGAGATGATTGCCGACCGTATGTACGTATGTATTTGAATATTCATATTTTAGGTTTAAATATCGGTTTCTAACAGAAAAGATATGACAAAAAAGGTATTGATGGGAATTAAAAAAAAAAAAAAAAATGTAATGTGCATGACATGTCATTTAATACGGACGGAATTGAAGTACAACTCGTAAAGAACTACAGCACATTTTGTCGGTATGTTTAAGAGGACGTCACACCCGCATGTGTTGGTCTCTGTCTGACGTACGTACAACATAACAAATTTGCGTTCAGTGATTCAAATGTAATGAAGTTAGATTTAATATTAGAGTAAATTGATCTATAATCAAACCTTAAGGGAAGAACATTATCTGTGTTTTGTTGGTCGGTTTTTCCGATATTTAAATTTTTAGCGGGTTATGATGTTTTTTCTAATGTTATATTTTACATACTTATAACACGCTTAAAAATTAAAATATCGGAAAAAGCCGACCAACCAAACACAGATAATGTTCTTCCCTTAAAGTTTGATTATAGGTCAGTTTACTCTAATATTAAATTTAACTTCATTACATTTGAATAACTGAACGCAAATTTACTATGTTTTACGTATGTCAGATGGAGACAACACATGCGGGTGTGACGCCCTCTAACATAATTTATCAAAGCACATCGCTAATTAGACGAATAAAAAAATTCTTCTTTGAACGTTTACGTGTCAACTGACCGTCCTGCTCGCACCAACTGCAGGTCCTGCAACGTGCCCGTCTGACCACTAGGTCCACACTCGGTATCTGTGGAGATTACAGCTTCGTGGACAATGGTCTCTGTCGCTCGTTTTCTCAAATCCCATAAGGTCCACGGGTAACCGTCATCGGTCGCTCGGGTTATCTGCGATATAGTGAATTCCGCCGAGGATACGCCGTGGTCAGATCTATGGAACAACCAAGGAGTACGTGGCGTGGTGTTGAAAACCAGAGCTGTCGAGTTTCCGGACTTTTGCCGCATCTCTGACCATTTTGAAAAGCACAATTTTAACAGGAACGGGAATCTGGATCCTGCAACACATATACACACCTCTATCGAGTTATACATGTTGTACAACAGAGCGAAACACAACGTTACATAACGTTACACTAGATCGTAATAATAATATAGCGCAATTGCAATAACATACTCGACGATTCTAATTTCATATGGTTCAACAATAATAAAGCTTTAGCCGCCAAGTCGACGCTTTTCATTTCCAAAAGGCCCGTCGAACATTTTGCGTCGGGTTGCTTTTGGGGCACTGTAAGAAAATAAATAATTAAAACCATCGCTTATATTTCTCACGCGTGAAATCGAAGTGCTGCGACGAATGACTTACGAATTGTTATTGACCGGACCGCGTCTTTGCAATCGAGGGCGTTTATCACTGCCCTACGAATGTTTAAGCCGCAAATGTCCATCGGCGCGTTGAAGAAATGTAAAATCTATTAGAGAGTTTTAATAGATTTTATCACATTAGTATGTTACATCATGTACGCAGTGGTGTATTTAAAATTTATCCTGGGAAAGGGGTAAGGGTATACTTACTAATACCATTTTATTTAGGTAGTTTTCATATTTATGGTTATATTTGTAATTCTATCAATGAATATAATAAAAGGTAAAATATTTATTCTTGTGATATTTTTTCGGAATTTAAATATAGATTAAAATATAAAAAAGAAGCTAAGGGAAGCAACTACTAACTTTTCTGTAAAAACACAACTGCGTCTACTTAAACGTTTTGGAGTATCCACATAAACTTACTTTCGATGGAGCTGCGATTCGACGCTTATCCATAAAATTTGTTTTGCTCGAAAATCTATTCAATATGCTGGGAGTATAATTCTTTTGTGCCGGTGTTCCGTCCGACAATTTGGCTACCGTTCCTTTGTCGTGTATATAAGAATATTTGGAATACCTGAAATATCCATTGGAAACCATGCGATGTTGTCAGATACAATTATACAAGTGTTCGTATAGTTAACGATTATAATGAATAGACGTGGAACTCTCAAATTCCGTAACAAAAAAAAAAAAAAAAAAACATTAGAAACTATATTGACTGACTACACTATATTATTTCATATTATTTCGTCTAATACATTTGAGCATAATAGAACATTCTAAATGTGATCAAGGACGGATTAAGCATCTATTGGGCCTCGGGGCTGAAATTTTATGTGGGCCCTTTTGAAAAAACATGGTTTACAAAGCCGCTCGCTACGCTCGCAGAACGATACATTTTTTTAACTATTTCACAAATTGTCAATTACATTATAAAATTATAAAATTAATAGGTATATAAATTTTATGCCTATAAAACTACTAATTTTAGTATGATAAAATATGTGTATCGGTTTAAAATTGTTTGAACCCCTTTCACTTGAGTACTCGAGAGGACCCCGGGCCAACGGCTAAACCCCCTTTAATCGGACCTTGCATGTGATATTCGCACCTGTGCGATCGTTGTAGGATGATGAACTTTTGAGTACTACTTATTTTACGGTTTATTTTTTATTTTTATTTTTTGTGTAATATTACTGTTATTTTTTAATTAGATAGCGAGGATCAGGACATGTATTTAAGTATAATACCCTAACACCGAGACCGTTAAGATCCGAGCTTTTGTAAATTCATCGCTTACTTGACTTTTAACTTGGTTTTCTGATCCAACGGCAACAAGTGCAGGTTGGACACACAACGTTCGGCAGCCTTGACGTCGTCTAGCTCAACGAGAACTTGCCTGTTTTTCAGTATCTTTACAGCCGTCACGTTTCCGTATAGACAGAACATATTGAAGACGTTGTCGCAATTCATATCGCGACCCAACCCGTGTACGAGCAGTGTTCTTCCGGGCTCATCGCGCCTTTTCCATGATGACGATGACCGGTGGCACGGCAGTACAGAAAAATCTCCGTTGCCCGACTCGGGCTTTCTGGCGATCCGCTGCACTTTCCTTGGCCATACCTCGTGGTTTCTGTAAAAGTTGCTAGCGCATAAATTATCATTATTAACGTAATCGCAGCTGTTGTTCGACCGAAAATAAACGTTATTTGTGTATAATTAGTATAAGCTATTTTTCAAATGTTTGACACGTACTCTCTGCTCATACGGTGTCCGGTCGCTTTTGAACGTCGGCCTCCGTCGTAAACCGGGTGCCGTCTACACACGTCGCAGGGGCGTGCAGGACGCAACAACGTACTCTGACCATTTACCTTTTCGCATCTGTCCATCGCAAGAGAGGAATGTAACAGACTTGCGTCAACGATGAACGAAAAGAGCAACGAATTCAGGACAACCGTTTTTAACACAGTGGTTCGCGTGCAATCACTCTAGAAATTCTTCGGACGAGATTCAATAGACAATCGTAGTATACTTATTCGTTTTCATGGTTCCGACAGACCGGATATTATTTAGCCGTTATTTTATAAATGGCCAGTATTATACAATATTATAGTTTTTGATCTTATTTACTATACTATTGTATGTCCCGAGTTATTATTTGAAATTAGTATACGATATCAAAATATATGAAATTCAGTTTTATTTTTAGTTCTTCATTATAAAACTATTAGCGGTATAAATTATTATTTTCTCTTTCCCGAGCTTTGATTTTAGCTAATACAATTTGTATACATTTAGATATTTTAGTTATTTCGTAATGGTTTTAAAACGAAATCAATGATTTTACTAAAAGATATTATTTATTGATTACAAAAAAAAAAAGTACATTTATTTATTTATTCAATTATATATTTCATGTAGACTGAAAAGTACAATTACAATCATATTATTATACTAATATACAATAAATCATTTAACTACTAGGTTAACATTTCTTTTAAATTCATATAAATTGTTTACAAATAGATCAATATTATACTTATTTGCTAATTTCAACATGTGATTAATTGGCGAGTATGACATTAAATTAGTAGAAGATAAAAATGAGTAAAACAAGTCAGTATTTCTTAAATTACAATTAGTTACCTTAAAATTAATCATTGACAATAGTTTAGGGATATCTATAAAGTTTAATTATTAGCTCATACAAAATATTAAATATAATTTATTTTGACGTGATTCTAGAGAGTCTAACATTATGCAATTAAGTAAATTTACATAAGATGAATGTGGAGCTCTATAAATATTACAATTAAAATATACAAATCGTAAAAATCGATTTTGTATGGTTTCTATGTCGTGTTTTAAGTTAAGTTGATGAGAAGACCAGAGAGAAGAATTATAATCGAGACACGATCGAACAAGTGAGCAATACAGAGTTTTTAGGGTAATCACATAGTTGAAATTATTACAATGTCGTCTAATAAAATCTAGTTGTTTTGCAGCCTTATTACTAATTGTAGAAATATGTTTATTAAATGTTAAATTAGATTCAAATATGACACCCCAATCCTTAGTATTATTAACGACAAGCAATTCAATATTTGATATTGAACAGGCATACACTATTGGTTTTTTTATTCAAAAAAAGGAAATGGCACTACATTTAGATAAGTTAAAATTCATATCATTTTCCAAACACCTCCTTTCAACTGCATTAATATCTTCTTGAAATAAATAAGAATCGTTTACTGATTTAATATTACCAAGTAATTTACAATCATCTGCAAAAGTAAATAATTTTGTAAATCTCAAATTAATAGATATATCGTTTATAAAAATATTAAATAAAAGTGGTGAAAGGTGAGATCCTTGTGGACCACCCGAAGAAACATGTATAGGGTTAGATAACAATTATTTGTATTTAATAATTTGGAATCTATTTATAATAAATGAGGTAATCCAAGATAACAATGGATTACTTATACCGAACGAATTTAATTTTTGGGATAGTAAAAAATGATTAACTCTGTCAAATGCTTTGGCAAATTCAGTATAAATGACATCGACTTGAAAACCATCATTAATGCAGCTAAGAATGTTATGGTAAAATGTGATAAGATTAGTATTTGTTGAGCGATTTATACGAAAACCATGTTGATTTTCGATTAATATATTTTTAAAAAACGGAGTCAATTTTTTAGAAACTAAATGTTCAAAAGTTTTTAGTAAAATGGAAATAATAGAAATTGGACGATTGTTTTTTATATCAGCTAGATTATTGTTTTTTGGAATAGGATTAATACATGATTTTATAAAATAAGTAGATAAACCATCAGGGCCGGGTTGTAAAGAATGTTTTAAGTTATTAATAGAATACAGTATATCATTAAAGGATAAATTAATAGAGTTTATGAGTTAAATTATTTGGAAATGTTTTAGGATCATCATAGAGTAATCTGGATTTAACATAAACACTACCTAAATATTTAGCAAATAAATTGACTATTTCTTTACCATTATTAGCATAAACGTCAGCTAAAAAGACTTTTTGTGGCAAAGAATTGTTATTGGTTTTTGATTTTATAAATTTTCAGAAAAATTTGCTATTTGCGTTTATAGAGTTTTTTAACATCATTTAAATATTTATCATAATCTAATTTACTTAAATTTTTAAAATATCTATGAAGGTGGGAAAAAATAATGTAGTATTGGTTTGAACGGGATCTTTTGAAATTTAAATGTGCTAGTTTTTTTTGTCGAATGCAATTTTTTAACTCATGATTGAACCATAGTATGTACATATAATGTATTGTTTTTATTACTTTTTTTTTTTTGTGCTACATTGTGTAATATTCATCATAATTTTACATTTATTTAAATACGACCATTTTAATATTTTTTTAAATATTTTTATTAATGTATGGAATTTAGAACCTCTGCAATTATACGTTACTGCGAAATAAAGAAGGAAGTTTATAATACAATGACTTTTGTAAAAACAACAAAAAAAACATGTTTGGCCACATATTATGTGCTCGTGACATCGCAACAATATTTATAAAATTGATTGTAATCGCGTTTGGGTACATCATATATTTTCCCTAAAAAATGAAAAAATAACGTAGATATTTTATCAGTTTTATTTTAGCATAAGAAATGTGTACGTATACCATAGATTGATGTGAAAATAAAACAAATGCAAGAGGTTAAAACGTAGTCTAACTATATTTGAACACGGTTTTGTTGTTAATATATTTATACACATATATATATATATTTATATACGAGTATAGTATATATCTGTTGTTATAGTGGAGATATATATAGTAAAATACATTATGGAACCACGCGATATGTTGATCTACTACCTTAAATGTTCTATTCATCGAACAGTATTTTATATTATGCTCATTTCTAACATCATTTCATTGAAAACTTCTGCCATGTATACATCAATATCAGTACGTCAATATATTTGTTGAATATTTCATTTATTTGCACTGCAGATATTTCCTCGATAAAACGTCTTGTGATTATTTTGGATAATATGGACGTATACAGTTAATATTGAGCGATAATTGACCATCCTTCGTATAATTTCTTAATCCCATTCCTATAATGTAACACTATCTCAGAATTCAATATATTAAAAATTCCGAATTGATATCAAATACCGTATTCCTTTATATATTGCATGTCTCTAACACAATGGGTTAAGCATTCAATAATAAAAGAAACTTTCAAAGGAAACTATTCAAACGGTAGCAATATCTATCGTTATTTCAAAATGTTAAACTTGAAAAATTAATAGAAATAAAAAAAATTCAAAATTCAAAACCAACTACTTAATCAACTAACTAATTAATTTCATAATTACATTTATGTTTACCATTATATTGTTATAAGTACATAGCGGAACCTCTATATTTAATTATCTATTAACTAATTTTTCTTTAAGCGAATCATTGTAATTTCATTCAAAGAACGTTTCTTTTTACGAAACAATTACAACTTTGTTGTATTCTAAATGTGTATTAATGGCCATAGTTGCCGAAGTTATATAAACAAGATCAATAAAAAAAAAAATTAAAAAAATATATAATTGTATATTCTTAGATTATACTATATATTAAAATACATATATTCGTGTATGTAATATGATATTTATGAGTATAATTGAATTTCAATAGTCCAAAATTTCTGAGGAAGTTGATTCTAAATTTTTTACTTTTTTAATATTTAACACTACTCCAATATTATTATTATTATTCTAGTTTAATGAAAACAAATGTAACCAATTGCGTTCAAAAGAAGGTACTATAAATCGCATTTCAAACATCTCATTATAATATCGGCTGCTGAAGTTGACGAAGAAAATAAAACCGAAATTGCGGTACTACGATGATACCACGCGTTTACATTATTACGAGTATAACATAATTGGTATAATAACAAACACTTGGTTTTATTATGAGATTGGCTCGTGATTTTCATCATGGTATGTCGATTAAGTCACACTTCTGTGGTCTAGTGCGACCGATCCTGGAATATAGTGATGTCGTCTGAGGACCCCATACCGCCAGGGTCGTAGAGGGGAGCCACAGGGTGCTGTTGCCTCCGGCGGCTGAATATGAGAGGGCGGCTAATTATTTTATATTTTTAATATTTAATGACCTAATATATTTGAAGTAAAATTTATTTACAAAATAAAAAGTGTATGACAAAAAATATATATATATCGTCAATCACGGCGTCATGACACATACACATACTCGGTAACGGTTGAGTACTGTTGTTAGATCCAAGCAGTACCGTGCCTAGCAGAATCAGCGCCCTCATCCTTCTACAAAATATTTTTGAACCTATAATTATAGCTAAGCTTAAACTATAAGGAGACTACTTAAGATTATGGGGTTTTATGTAACTACTCGTACTTATTTTGTATTTATTAAATTAATAAAGAAATAATCAACTAAAGGACAATATAAGTAATATAATTCAAACTGATTCTTCGACGCCATGTTTTCTCACTCTGGTTTACCTACTTGAACAAGGTACCCGCGAATTTCGTCTCTAGATTTAAATCTATAATTCCCGTTATACCAGATAAAGTATGGTTCAATGATCTCACTCTTTCTAGATTCCTCGTAATCAAATTTAACCGATTACGCACTGGCCATCATATCTTACCATGTTGCTTGCAAATCAAATCTTAATGATTCCCTTTCAGTAGTACAATTATCGGGAGCATCGGGTGCACAATTCACAGAGATCCCTGTTTTTTTTTTTGGGGCGAGGGCAGATCTCTTTTTGTATTACCTTTGTCCCTTACAATATTTTTACTATAATCTGTAATATACACATATTATGTTGTCTAATTTAATATAATAACAATAAATAAAAAGTCTAGACATTTTCACATGGGCCCCTTATCGTCAAGTTGCGCCACTTTCCCTTCTCTGCACATTCCATTTAGAAAAAAAAAAATCTATATTCTATCTTATATTCTTTTTGACTGCCTTTCCTTACCTATCAAACGTAATATCCTAATTAGTCTCGCAATAACCCATTCAATACTTTTAGCAATCTAAATTTCAAAATCTGCTCTTATTCTAATTATTTCCTTCATTCACGAGGATGATTTCTCAGTACACAATCTTTTATTATTTTAATAATTTTATAAATAGTATATTGTTGTTAATTTGTCATCTCGTCGATTTCGGGGCAAAAATAAATACCAATACTAAAAATAAATTAGAAACACCACCGATTAAGACAATGTTAATGATGTCAACTACGCGCGAGACCATGTCGTTAAGCGTGTTAACTATTTTGAATTAAATAATATGGTTAACTTTCAGTAATTTTACTTAGATTATGAAAAAGCTTTTGGCACCCCAGTGTTAATAACGCCCGGTGCACACGCACCTCTTGCACTCCCCTAGGCACGGCCCTAGATCCAAAGATTTACAAACCATCTATCCTTATATTGACATTACACTTAGAATGTTTTTGAGTACACCAGCAACGAATTGTTCTTCAGAAAGATCTTTTTCAACCAGCAGATGTTTGTATTTGGTACAATGAGGCGTTTTTTATTGTTGTCCCCTGGTGTCGAATTCCTAAATACGGCCCTACATACCGTTGACAACTCCAGATAGATTGAAAGGGTACAACGCAGATTCTTGAGGTTTTCGAGTCATTTATCGAATATACCACGCGATCCTCATGACTATGCCCCGGTATCGAACGCACTCAATCTAGTTTCATTTGCTGAGCGTAGTTGCGCCACGAGTATTAGCTTCTGGAAGGGATTGTTGGAAAATAAAGTTGACTGTTCCGCCCTACCCGCTTTGGTAGACTTCGAAGTTCCACCGAAAAATTACACGTACTACTGTTCCTTTCCATATTCCTCACTTTAATACTAACTACCTACGGAACGAACCAATTAGACGTCTATTGTCTCATTCCAATTCAGACCCCTCTTCCTTATAATTTATGTTATATCTAAATGTTTTTTTTTTTTTTTTTTATGCAATAAAGGTATGCCCGGCCCGTATAAGTGTTTCAAATAAAATAAAACAATCTCTTCCAAAATTCATAACATGATATCTTTCGTTTGCGTTGTACGCGCGATGTTACCGTGCCGACAGTCGATTCCACGACTGTTCGTCGGGTTCGATCCTCTTACGCGTGGAAATCGTACGTGAACTCCGTATACATACGTGTACGTGCGTACGTGCGTGTTGGGAAATAGTAGCATGTTTCGCCGTGTGCATTGTTACGCGAGTGCGCAAGACTGTTGCTCGGCAACCGTTTTGTTGTAGGTTAACCGACGACGAGATTACGGGTTACCCGTGCAGTACGATGCACATACGTACGCCGTGTGCGCTAAATTACCGGTCGTATAATCCCACTGGACGTTTCCGGTAGTGCGAACCGTGTTTGTGTACGCTTTCGGACCCTTCCGTCAACGCGTATCCGTCTTCTCTGCTCTCCGTGTCCAACCGCGCATATCGCGTCGATTTTATATTGACGTAAACGGTTTCGTCCGCGGTACAGCGTTCGGGGCGACATGTCGAAAAGGGACGTACAAGCCAATAGGAGCCCTAAGACGACGCAGCCGACGGGGCTATCTTTGCAAGGCTCTCAAGTACGTAATGCGCTTCATTAGTACCCGTGCTGTTATCCCGCGAGACGCGGCAAAGCTTTCGGTTACGGATAAGCCAGGAGATTGTCACCGTCGCCGCCCGACCTTAAACATTATATCGATAACGAAACACCGATAATATTAGTACTTGTAATGATAACGGTCGTATTACCGATGAATGTCGTCGGAGTGATAGTGTAGATGTTACAATATTTGTTTATTCGTACAAATCTGTTCGAATAGCCTCGCGCACGTATCACCGCTGAAATATACGATGCGTATATGTAAATATTTTTACATTTTGAAAATTGAAAATGATATTATTATTACAAAAGTGATTTATGAGTATTTTTTTCTTCTTGTACGCACGCCCCAAGATTGTATATTTTATCCACAAGCGTACTATCAAATAAATATATAAAAAAAAAAAAAAACGAACAATAAAAAGTCGTATTTTCCCCCGTATTGAGTACAAAGTGTATGTGTGTGTGTGTGTGTGTGTGTCGAGTAAAAAAAAACTAACCCATTCGCCTCATAGGTTCTAATCAATACGATTGCATAACAAGACGTGACATGTCCCACGCGATATCATGTATACAATTGAAATGAAATAAATAACACTCGGAGACTTGAATGGTTTTTATTTTTTCCGGTTTGCGTTTCGCCTAAGAGATGCGTGCGTATTATTTTTCAAAAATACCATAAAATACTGTAAATGATTTATGGACTGCAAAGACAGACGACATTATTAATAATTTCTGTTTAGTGCGTGCAGCACAGAAAATCATTGTACACAATCCATCTTGTCACAATATTATTGTTTACATCGTTTTGGCAATCTAATTAATATGTATCTTATATTAGAAATACGTTGGACCTTACGAGTGTGAATTATTGAAACTCATTTTATATAGTCAAAACGAAAAACCGTTAAACATTATGCTTCTTGCCTAGACGTCTCTAAATGCAAGAATCGTTCTGTCGACCGGTTATTATTACTGATAATTAACGATCGGATAGTGAACAATATCTCGTAATAGCTATGAATTATAATACGTGCTACCATAAATCGTCTCGGATAAATGCATAAATATTTTACGAACACGCACACAAGAAGCATAATACAGTACATATATAATACATCAAATGCAAAAACATTTATTCATGATGATTCTGTTTGTTATTTCTTTTGAGGGATCCATCACTGTATACGAATTAATATTATACAGTCTACAATCTATGAAATGTTATAAATATTAAAAAATATGCACCCGCATTCCGATCAAATTCGATTTTAAATATAGGCAGGTAGAATATTGTAACATCGAAAATGTTTCTGTTAATCGAAGTCGATGTTGGTTTATAACAATTTAATTATTATAAGATTTAATACTTTTAAACTGATTGTGCATGTGCATTACTCTCGTCACGCAATGCGTTTATTTTGAACGAATATTAATTTGAGAAACAATAGGTCGGATGTATGCAAATCCGTGGACGTGCGTATATCATACAAAAGCCAATAATAAACATCATACCCACTTTTCAGCGTAGTATAATATGAAATGGGTGTTGCAGTTGTTCGAACTGTACAATAGCACGCAAAAATGTATTTGCTATTTTACAATATTAATTAATCATTAATGTTTATTTTGCATAACGTAAACTTAATTTCAATTGCTTTTATTAAGGTAATTCATTTCTTTATCTATTTCCATCTTAAAACCAAAACGATTATCGTTGAATATTTTTATTGTGACGATGTAATAATCATTTCATAAAACAAACGTTATAATTTTACCATAAGTGAAATAAATTTAATCAAACGACATTAGTAATTTAAAATTATTTGAAAATATTACGTTATCTTAAAATTCATGCGAATAATTAAAGTTGAAATAAAGTTATTTAAAATTAAATTTTAACTTAATAATGTCCATCCTAGGACAAATTAACTGTAAACAAAAAAAAATACCGTGAAGTTATATACAACTACAAAAACCGTTCAATGCTTAATCTCCAAATAATAAACAAAATTATGAACCTATAATTTTAAATGATTAAAATTTTAATACTGTTATGATTAATAAGCATGTAAGTGTATAATAGGTCGTCGTATTTACTCAAGCTTTTGTATTTTAAATATTTATTTAGATTAATCTCTCAACTCGATTATCCAACTTCAATATATCAAATCCTCTACAGTATTTGTACAATGAGAACGTCGATTCAACGTCACGAGGTAGACCGATGTCCGCATCTACGCTGAGCGCCACGTATCAGGTTTGATGAATAAATAAAGCAAAATATGATATTTATCGATTTTCTTCGACAGTGGTAGACGTCAATGTTTTATTGTCACCCGTATAATTACATTTTTTAGGAATCGCCACGAAGATCAAAACTAGCCAAACGTCCTCAGTCGGCAGATACCGTAAACAAGATAGCCAAAAGTCGACAAATTGCATTTAATTTCAGTGATCAACAAAACGATTTGGGTGAATATTAAAAAAAAAGATTAACTTATGGAATTTCATTATATAATAACCCACAACTATGATGTATGAATCGATAAACGATTTAACAATGTTTTTCATTAATTTGTAGTAGAATGAGGTATAATCAACGTATGAAGTATTCATTTAAATTGGTCAATTCATACTTAATTTGTTTTGTCTTGCTTTACTTGGTATTATATATATATATATATATTATATTTTACTTTAATTTTTTTTTTTTACTTTTCGGTTTATTGTACTTTAAAAACTACAATTTAAACCGTTCTCATAGTAGTCCTTAAATTGTGACTTCAAGTGTAGATTAGGTTGCGTGTTTGAGTAACATTTGCGTTATGCGACAGAGCCGTACATACAAATCGATATAGAATCATAAAAATTATTAATTATAAACACCTTTCACATTAAGTACGCCTATTGCTTTTCATATTCTCATGGTCGACCACCACGTGTTTTAAAAGTCAACAATAACATATACTTCCAGTATATCGGTCATAACTATAAGATCACGTGATTCGACATGACTAATCGTCCCGGGATCTTTTCGCCGAATACGGTAATAAGTCACTTCGCGTTCGTCGCGATATAAGTAGTACGACAATATTGGTACCTTTTGCTGCGGAGTTTAATTTTAATTTTTTTTTCATTTATTACACATAACATAACACGTTATCGTGTGCAACGGGCCCCGTTGAATAAACTCGTAGGGAGAGGGGACTAGTAACATATTAAGAGTTTTGTTACAATCAATCCTATTTCGAAGCTGTTTAAAACCTACGATGGTTATATGCGTATGATTATAAAAGGGATAGTGATTAAACAAGAACCATATGATTCGGATGGACGATTAGCGTCTTGTTGCGGTGGCCGTTCTGTTTTAATTTTAGTACAACATAAATCTCGTCATCCGTACGGTAGGTTATTATAAATATATAGGGGTTTATCCGTTTTGTTTTCGCGGTACGGAATAACCGCGATGGCGGGTGTAGTACTCGGGTCCGCGGGCAGTGCTAAGTGGTCCGTTTGTAAGTTGAACCGTTGCGCAGGTCTTGAGAATGGTTGCGCGGGCCTGGAGACGACGTTTGACGAGCTGGACGCGGACGAACTGTCGTTGGACGAACGTTCCAGTCCTGCGCCGCTGCTGCAGGACGCCCTGGAACCGGGGCTCACGTCCAAGCCACCCATCCCGCCGGCGGGCAGCGGGCCCGCGGAAACGTCGTGCGATCGGGATGCCGCCGATTGCCGCAAGACCGGAGCCGCGGTGACGTTCGACGACGCGATCGAGCTGAAATTCCAACGATGGTTCCCGAACTCGGTTCCGGTCGCGCCCGCCGCCGTACCACGCGAAACCGTCGCCGACGTGTCGCTGAACGGCGTGTCGTACGAGTACAGCGAGCGGGTGATCGACAACGATCGCGGCACCGTCACGTACACGAGGAGCAGCTCGTCGATGAGCATCCGCGGCAGCCAGGACCAACTGGACGAGGAGCACTTGTACTCGAACCTGAGCGCGGCTATTGGTGGTGCGGACAAGCTTTGCAGGGGCGTCGTGTCCGCGGACGTGTTGGACATGCTGCACCAGAACGACGACAACCGCCGCGGGAGGGCGCCGACGAGACCTAAACCGAAGAAAAAGATCTCTGTTCCGGTGGCGGCGGCAGCGGTCGCGTACAGAGCCAAAAGGGACACGACAAAGTCGGTGTTGAAGCCGAGGACGAACTTAGCTGCCGCGAATCCCGTACCTGTAACCACGGTAACCTGCGATACTGTGCAATGCGATGGATTGACCGCGCGCCACGAGCAGCGAGCCCCGGACAAGGAAGCGAGAAAGGATCATCATCAGACCAGGAAACTCGACGATTCACCGGTGGACTATGCCACGGAGGACGTGGTTTCTTGGATGTCTAGCCACCAGCTGAGACCGTCTACGTCCGAACTCGACGACCCGTTCGCGAGTCGCGTTGACGATAAACACTGTGTATTTATATATTTTTCGATTGTTTGCAATGACTACGTAACGTATAGTTTTGATTCACCGTATTTCAACGTGTGTGTGCATGTGTGTTTAAGGACGCGTTGCGCAGAGATCACGACCACAAGACATCGACGTATGACGAAATAGTCAACATTCTGAAAGAACTCGAATCGGAAAATAACGATATCGGTAGTTAGTCAATATAGAATATACGTTTTTTGTTAGCATATTTATAATATCGCTTTATACTTCACTGTATAACACATCGATCTCATAAAATATATTGTTTTAATATTATATTTTCTGTATTATAATGGTTTATTGTAGACATGAATGTCAGAAAAAGTGCTGTTACAGATAATAATAAACGTCAAACATTAGTACCAGAGCCTTCGTCGAGTTCAAAGTTAATATCACTTGGAAATCATTAACAATTATTGTTTTTTTTTTTTTTTTTTTTTTTTCATACGATTTTTTCGAATAATATTTTTAAAAACGATTAATTTTTTATTTTGTTTTTTTATTGAATTTTTTCGAAGAGCTCTATGGTCGTTTTTGGACGAAGTAGAGAAAAACTCTAATCGTTCAACTCCTTCCAAATTACCTAAACAGAAATTGCCTGTAAACTTGCCAAGTACACCACCATCGTCGTAAGTGGATACCCGCCTCACGTTGTTTGCATTTAACTGATGGATCATATTGTTTTTAGACCGGAAAAAATTATGATAGATGTGAAAAAAGGAAATCTCCAACAAGTGATAGAGCTTGGTAAAACTGAACTGGCACAAAAAGTGGCGTCGCTTCAAATGCAATTAGCAGAAAAAGAAGATGTAACTGAAAAACTAAAAACAACTGTATCTGAACTGCAAGCTGAGCACGCCAAAAGCAAAGCTGAATACGAATCCACTGTCACGAGACACCAAAAGTTCATCGATAAAGTAAATTACACTAAATCCAGATTCAGTGAATTGCCTGTTTAATTTACATAGCGGTGTTCTAGTTACTCAACGAGAAGAAAGAACTTAGTGAAAGTTGTGCTTCGACTGTAAAAGAATTGACAAAAAAAATGAATGACGCTTTAGCCAGCCAAGAAGAGCGGCACAAAGTCGAATTAAAAAAAGCCATTGATAAACAGACAGCGTCTGAGAAAATAAAAAAAGATCGATGGGTCGATCTTAAAACGAAAAAAATCAAAGTAATTAGATATTTCTACTTGAATTGTTGTGTATTATATTGGAAGTTAAAACATAAACGTATATATGTGTGCTCGTAGGAAATGACTATTAAGGGCATTGAACCAGAATTAAATAGGATGTCAACAGCATATCAAGAAGAACTATCAGAACTCAGAAGGATCCATCAATCACAAATCGAAGAAATCGAAGGAACATGGCACAGAAGAATGGCGGCTATGAGGGATAAAATGGACACCGAACGGGAACAAGCAATCATAACTGAAAGAGAAAATTCTAGAAATCGGCAAGTACCATAGTAGTAATCAGTAGTTTTTTTTCTAACAATATACTTGGTTAATATTTATTAACTTAAATCGATAGCGTTGTAATGAGTAATATATAAATAAGATATTGAATTCAATAAAATTAAAGTTTTATAATATATTATAACATTAAGTAAGTAAAATAATGTATATATCTCATAAACATAAAATCAAATTAATTAAGCTAATTGTTCGTATAAAATAGTTGTATAGTATAATTAATAAATGCACGATTAACATTCCAAAAATATTAAATTATTATAAAAATTAAAGACAGAAAATAAATTTATATTAGTAAATGTTTAAACATTTACTTTAAGAAAATTATTATATAATATGTACGGCCTCGGGTTAACAAAATTAAAAATTCAGCATTATTTTATATACTTGACTATCAGGAATAAATATGGAAAAATTGTTATGGTAATCCAAAGTATGCATAAAAATATAATTCTATGGATGACTTTTATTTTTTCTCTTTAGAGTTTGAACAAACAATTTTCTTTTCTTCATCAGCAGTGTACATAAAATATTAGAAAAAAATTCGTTAACATAAATGAATATATATTTTTTTTTTTTTTTTTTGGTTTTCGGTCATTGAGACCATACCGCCAAACAAATTTCTCTCCATCTATCTCTATTTTCTGCCACTACTCTCCATGGTATCTCTGGTTCCATGTTTTCCACGTCCCTTTTCACACAGTCTTCCCAGCGTAAGCGTGGTCTTCCTAAGGGTCTCTTACCGACCGGGTTCTCTTCGATAGTTGTTCTGACTATGGATCCTACTCTCCGCCATGCATGTCCTGCCCAGGTTAATCTTCTTTTCTTGATTTCATTCGCGATGTTCGGTCTCTGGAACAGCTCTTCGAGTTCTTTATTATGACGTTTACGCCATTCACTTGTGTTTGTGTCAAAGCATGGGCCGTAGATTTTCCGTAAGATTCTCCTTTCAAATACTTTTAGTCTGGTTTCTTCTGCTTTCCTAAGTGGCCATGTTTCCGCGGCATACAGTACTATGGGTCGTATCAGGGTCATGTACATTTGTATCTTCAGGTTTGTCGATAATGTTCTTGAACTCAGTACTTTTCCAAGACCAAAAAAACTTTTGTTGCCTTTTTGTATCCTAGCACTGACTTCCATCTTCAGATCGTTATCTTGTGTTATCAAGTGCCCCAAGTATTTGAAATGTGTGACTCTTTTGAATACATGCCCTTCTACATTCATAGATTGTCCTTGTTGATATTCTCTGTCCTGTCGACTTACAATCATGTACTCTGTTTTTCCGTCGTTTATCTCCAATCCGACCTTACTAGCCATCGTGATGAGTTTCCTGCATACTTGCTTAACCGTTTCTTCAGTATCTCCTAAGATCGCTATATCATCCGCATAAGCCAAGATATTTATGTTTGAGTTTCCCAGTACTATTCCATTGTTACAATTTGTTGCTCTGATTACCTTTTCTAATATTAGGTTGAACAATATTGGTGAAAGCGCATCTCCTTGTCTTAGACCTGTCCTAACCGTTGCTGGTTCTGACAATTCCGATGCTACCTTTATTTTGATTTCTGTATTTTGCAGAGTGGCCTCGATTAATTTTATTAGTTTGTTTGGGAACTTAAACTCTTTTAATATGTTTATTAGACTATGTCGGTGGACAGAATCGTATGCTTTTTTGAAATCTACAAATAGTATACATATGCTTTTATTGAATTCCCAGTATTTTTCTATGATCTGTCTTAAGCTGAAGATTTGATCTGTTGTTGATCTGTTGGGTCTAAAACCACCTTGATAATCTCCCAGTATCTCTTCCGCAATGGGTTTAATCCTATCTAAAATGCAATAGGACAATATCTTGTAGACCACATTCAATAAGGCAATTCCTCTGTAATTATTACATATTTGTGGGTCACCTTTTTTATGGATTGGACATACGACAGCGACATTCCAACCTTCTGGTAGTACTTCCTGCTCCCAAATGTGGGTTAGTAACCTATGAATATATATATAAAAAAAAAAACAAAAACATTTTTTATATGTCATTTAAATTAGAAAAAATTGCCAGCGTTATCTCATAAATTAATTTTTTTAAAACTGTCCATCGAGGATAAATTACTTTGATAATTTATTCACTTGTGGCGATAAATTAGATTGGAAATGGAAATCGCTGAACTAGAAAAAAGTTATCAAGAACAACGAAAAAGATTATTAGGTGAAATTCACGGGGAAAGATTGCGACAAGAGAGAGAAAATGATATTGCGCTAATGGAAAAGCAGCGAGCTCTTGAGCAAAAATTTGAAAAACTAGTAGCGGAACTTCAGGACAAGATTCATAAAAAAGAGGAAGAGTTTCAGGTAATCCATTATAATGATCTTAAACTTGGTATCTTTTAAAATAATTGCAATCCAATTAATGTCATTTGTGAGTTAGAAAAAAAAAATGATTTTTTATAATTTGCTTTCAGAACGAATTGAAGAATATTCGAGAAACGTACGAGTCAGAAAAGACTAAATGGATAAACCATCAAACCACTGTGTTGGCAGAAAAGGAAAATACTATAAGAGAAATGTGTAAAAAAGAACGGGACAAACATATTGAATTGGTTGTCCAAAAACTGGAAAACGAAGCTTCCGAAAGAGAAAACACGTCAGAAGCGAAAATCAAGTAATTAACTTGGTATTTCATTAGTAGGGTATTATTCGAAGGCAATATTTTACTAAAATATGGTATCTCCATATTTCATAAGTCATTCAAATCAAATTTTTCTTTACACTATTAATTTTAAAGTAAATATTTTTGTTTATATATAGCATAGCTGAAACGTATATAAGTTATATTACTTAATTACTTACCTACACAATCATTAAATTATAAATATTATATCATAATACTCCGTTTTTGATAGTATGTTATTCGATTTATTCTATTAAAATTAAAAATGATTCATATAAGTTTTGTATTCTATTATTTATTTTAGATAATAAATATTTGTATAGTTTTTCATTTTAGGATCAAAAATGTTATTTTACATTTTTTTATTTATTTTTTTATTTTCTGGTAAATATAATAGCCGATGATACAGAATCTATATCTTAGATTTGAAACGCTCATATTTTTAGTGAATTTAAATACATATTAAACCCAAATAATTTTATTAGTATAGATACTATGTCAAAAATATATGAGAGTATTTGTCGGATAAAATTATATAATTTTACAATTTTATGCATTATACTTTAATTTGCAGACGTATAAAATCAGAGTACGAAGCTGATATTCATGAGCTAGAGAACACTATATCCGGCTATCGTTTGAAGTTGAATGAAGCTCGTACCAAAGCACAGGAACAAGACGATAAGATAACAGAGCTTACTAGTGAGCTGAATAAGTGTCATAATGAAGAAAAACGATTGAAAGATGTATGAACGGATAAATTAATTATATTGCGCACGACGCGTCATTCGAATATAGTAGATATTTTTATTGATGTTTTTGCAGGTGATTTGTAAGCTGAAAGATGACCTGATCGCCAAAGAAAATACAATTAAAGCCGAAACTCTCACTAAGGTGGGGATATTGCAGACAGAGCTGACACAGTCGAAGTTGAATTTCCAGACTAGAATCAAAACGATCGAAAGTGAAAAAGAAAAGGAAATCAATCACGTCTACGTCAGGTACGAGTTTTCTATTCGGTTTCGAATATGTTCGTATTGCCGTTGTTATTGTTTTAGAGTGAAGGAAGCGATCAAACGAAAAGATGAAATCATCCAAGTATTGCAAAGCGAACGAGACGCAGCGTTGGATCAGTGCAGCAACATCGAAAAACTTATGGAACGTCAGCGAAAAGAGCTTCTGAAGCTCAAATAATTATTTTGCGGTTAATACTTATTCATTTTCTTTTGATTGTTTTTATATGTAAAATAATGGTTGTTTTTGGAAAAAATATATTAAATATTGTTGTCATATTAAAACTCCGTTTTATATATACAATTATCGTCACAGAAACTGCATGCACGACTATTATTTTTATTAATAATATGTTATTGATATGATAAATAAATTATCGTTGAACAGTACTTTGGGAACGACGCACCGCAAGTAAGGTAAGGAACCCGTTGTATCGTCATTTTTCGGTACCTATTAGTCGCACTTGATTTGCATTATATGCCAGTCTCGGAAGGCAAAGGTTCAACAAAAAATACTGCCATGGCAAAGACCAATAATCATTTTCCCTTATTAATTAGCCGCCTGAAAAAACACATAGTGCCCAACTATTAATAACCACAATAAATATCAAACAATAATTATTCGTACAAATATTACAAAACCAATACCCTTATGTTTGATCAACACCATTTTATTGGTTTCGAAATTTCACCAATGTTTAAAAACGTATACAAATAATACGAACAACTAAACAATAGATTTACACCAGAAACTTTAGTAGGTACCGTACCGGATATTTTCGATAACTTTACCAATGTTATTCATATGAGATGTGTAATAATAATAAATCTACTACATACAATTGTATTCTGTAGAAGGTTGTCTGCGAAATAAAGTGAAAATAGTAATACCACGAAACCGTCGAAGCACTCAACAAGCGTTTCATTTTATGAATAAAATATATTTATACTATTAGGTAAATGATAACAGAATAATAACTGTAGTGTGTTAAGTATAACATGGCGTTTATATCTAAAGAGTAATTATATAGGTATAACAAACATTACAATAAGTGCTTTGAAGTTTCAAAAGTTTTAAGCGTAGAAAATGAACGAAAATGCAGTAAAAGTATTGTTATTATTATTTATTTTTATTATCGCATACGTTTGAAACTTTGACGACGCACGGATAATTATTAATACCCGAAACTTTGTTGTACATGACGTGTAGAGTAAGGTGGTGAATTTAGAATATGAACTAGCGGCAACCAAAATATTCGAATCAGAATGTGCAGTGGGCAACAAATCAAACGCTAAAACCGAAAGTCTCAATTCTATGAAGGATGCATTCCAGCATTTCTTCTCGGAAAACCGACCGGTGCCCTTACGGTTTTTCAGCGAGAAACACCGCGAAGCGTTTATGGAGGCTCTGCGAGCGCATCGAGTGTCGTAAGTTACAACGGTCAAGTAAATCGACTGAATTTTCTACCAAACCCAACCATGATATAGTTTTTCAATCAAAATTTCTGTCATACTTTTAAGTTACAAATATAATGTATTAACGATAAATTTATTCGATTACTAACAAATGCATTATATAATTTAATTTTTCATTCAAGTGTGAAATATTTTATAAATATTGTAGTACGTGTTTAGAAGCGAGTTGAAATTATGAAACCATTGCACGTTAGTTCATGCAAGTGTATTATAAATTGTTATTTTAAATGAAGAAAAATACCAAAATTAAAAAAATAAAAGTGACTTTATCAGTTTCTCGATTTTAAGCATAATATATATAAGTAATATTATTATATGCCAATTTGAAACGTATATTACCTAATCTATTCTCTAATAATGACCAGTAATAGAAAATCCGTTTTAATCCAAGTTTAGGAAACCTGAAATTTTTAAATCTCACAAATTAAAATAAATACAATTCAAAGGAAATTTTTCAAATCAAATTCAATTCAAATCGGAATTTTTTTTATTGATTTCTGAAATACTTTAAACAATTGGATTACATTAGATCATTATTTGAAAACATGTTACAGCTATTTAGAAAATAATATCATATCTTAAGAGAGTGAGCAAGATATTCTATTTTAATTAAATATTATAATAAACATTTTGTGGTGGTGTAATATGTGACATACAAATACGAATAATAATACTCTTTTATCTATACTCAACTATAATAGCGCAAAAACATAAATCTATAAATCACTCGAATTTCTATCAATAAGAAATCGTTGCTTTCCGGTCACACAATAAATCGATCGGGTGGTGTAGTGTGGAGATGATATAATTATACAACCTGCTTATTTGTACAGTCTCATACAAGCTCCCATTAATAAAAAAATCGTGACGAAAAATCTGCCACACGTTGCCGAGTACTATGTGGAACTTTATGGAACGATGGACAGCATCGTTTCTAAGGTGCATAAACATTTTTGCGATATCGTTAAAAAAAATTATAAATTTGGGTCGAAAATGCACTGTAGGTGGACAAAATATTGGAATTCGTTGAAAAAATCAAACAGGACGGACACGTCGATTTGGAATTGATGGATCTGCTTAAAAACGTCAACGATAAGTTGGTCGATGATTTCGATCTGTTGAAAATTGAACTCGGGGAGGCTCAACGGTAATCGTCTTTGAATTCGAAAAAGTGTTATGAAGACGTTTAACAAGATTTTTTCTAAATCAATAAAACTGAGTTTTTCAAGATGTTCTGAATTTCATTAAACGTTATCAACAGGTCCATGAAGAGTGTTGTAAATGAATTGGTCCAAACTCATCGATCGGTGGCACAAATATGCGATCATATCGAACAAGAAACTCGTGAGTACCCCACTAATATAATAATGAAACGCAATAAAATTGATCGATTATTCGTTTGGTAAATAGTTTATTTAACCGATTTTCCCTTTCCGTTGTATTGAATGTCTTACAACGGCGAGCGAGTGTCGAAAAAAA